CACGCAGCCCCTGTGCCTTAAGGAGCGGTGGCAGCGCCGGGGCGCGCGGGACCCCGCGCGTCACGGAGCCGGGACGAGCCCCGGGCGCGCGCTGCTCGTCAAACCTGGTCCTGCGCTTGGCTACAGCTGAAGTTCCCAGACGTTCCGTGTTAGCTCTTGTTTTATCTCAGGTTGGTTCTTGAACTCTCCAGTGCATTGGCCTCTGCCGCCGTCCCGGAGGAGCAGAGACAGGGCCCGAGCGGGTTCTGCAGGAAGCCGCATGGGAATTGCTAATTCCTTCCAGTGTCCAGCTCCGTAGCCAGGATTCGTGCCAGTCGGTGTAGTGTCATGTAAAGCTTGCAAGGTTCATGGGGTCAAATAAAGCTGTTTCTCTCTGTTGGTAGCTCTGCATATTTATCTCCCAGCTTAAAAGGGGGAGGGGAGAGGACCCTGTTAGGTGGATCAGGACTTTCTGTAACCGCTTCTTTTTTTGGGAGAGAAAGCAAATATTTAAGAAGAAATATTTGATCCCTCAAGCCCTCAGAATTTATGCTAGATGGAATACTGTGAAATCTGTCTTTAATGGCCTTTCTTTTTCAAAATCTTGTCCCTTGTCTTGCAAAAGGTCACATAGACACTTGTTTTTTATAATTCAACCTTCTCAGTTTGAACTATTGAATGATAGGGACAAGCACTTGTCCAAGTACCAAAATAGGATTTTACGCTTCCTCTACTGAACATGCAATGCTTATTTAGCTCTTGTTCTCTGCAACTTACTCGTACAGAAGTCGTGTGAATTTTAGGCCTTGTTAAACCTCCAGCAGAAAAACCTAGGTCGGAGTAAGGAGATTTCTATAACCGCGTTTGCAGGACACAAGGTCCAGTAGGGTGCGAGGTCCCGTGTGTTCCCCGCGCGCTCCGAGGAGCGGGAGGCAGCGGCGCAGGGACAGTCCCGGCACGGCGGCCGCAGGGACAGTCCCGGGATCGGGAGCGACGGGGAGACCCGCTCGGCAGCGCTGGTGCCCGGTGCTGCTGTTAATTCTCTGTGTGCTTTTCCAGCCCCGGCCGCGCTCCCCTTGGGAACGCTCGGAGAGGTGCTGAGCGCTCGCCGGGATGCGGCTCCTGTTTTAACCCTCTTGCTATAATGGCCCTTTTCCTGGTGGCGCTCTTAGGCTTTTAGTAGGAACCGCTGGGGAACGCCTGGTGCCTGGAAAGGATGGTACCAGGGTACTCCAAAGCTTGCCGAGTCCCATTCTGATAACCCAAGCACCTTGTTTTGTCTTTGTTCAATCTGAGTTTGTTTAGGTGTCTAGATGTCCATGGCAACGATAATAAATTAATTTAAATGTTAGCCAAAAAGTGCTGTTTCTATAAGGCTTTGTTTTCTTAGGGTTACGCGCAGAGAGCTGTGGTTTGGCCGTTTCGCAGCCAGCAGGATCCCCGCTCGCGCCGTCCGGGCGGCCGCAGCTCCCTGACCGTGTCTCTCCGCTCCGGGATTTGCGGAGCCGCAGGGTTTGCAGGACAATTTTCCGGTTTCTCGGCGTCCTGCACAAACCCGGCTGCTTTGTAGCCCAGATCCCGTGCCAGGCTGTTCCCGGGAGGGAAGGAAGTGCTCGAGGGCTCCCTGCTCCCGACCCTGTAAGACCGGGAAGAGCGAGCGGGAGACTCCGGCTCCCTGGGACCGGGCAGCCTCCCCTCCGGTTTTCCCGGTTTCCTCCTGCGTGGATGGCAGTTGTTGGCTGGAGGCACCAACGTCCCCCGGCCCGAGGAGCCCAGGGTTCCGCTCCTGTCCTCTTCCATCACTCAATTTCACAGATCATGTAAATTTGAAAATAACTTGGTGATTTTCTCTCTCTCAAACTCAATGTACATTTGTTACAATGTACAGTGCTTTTTAACTACACTTGTATATTAAATTATTTAATAGTTTTTGCTTTTCAGTATCTTTTGTATGTAGCAGAGATTAAAACAAGGACCTCATAAGTGAAGCTCTTCCTAATTTTTGAATGCGTATGTAAAGTTGAAAAGAAAACTAGAACTTTGCCGTTTACAAATAATGTTCTGTTAAGTGCTTGGTCTGTCTAACTTGATTTGAACAACATATTTCTAATCTTCCTTGTGCTGACATTTAATTCTCTATAGAAACAAACACGAAGTTTTTTATGAACTTCTAAAAAAGAAATATTCTTCTAAAGATGTAATTTAGGAAACTGTACAGTTTTTTCCTCTAGTATTTTTAAATGAGTAGCAAGAACTTAAACAGAAGCATCTAGTCCCTGTTTTGTAGATGGTGTAAAAACTTGTGTGTGTATAGAGAACACAGTCTGAAGAACAGTGTTTGCCTGTTGTATTTCATTCCCTACAGTATGAACAGTGGAAGGGCCCCTGTTCACAGGAAATTGAGCTCAATTTGGGGACGGGGAGATTAAAACAAAGCCTTCACCCCTGCCACCCTGTATGTGCACTCGATGTGAAGCCACGAGCGAAAACCAACCCTGACCAAGTACCAGGGCCTTACGCTGTTCCGCCGCGGCGGGCGCGTGGATTTGGCACAACGTGTTCCACGCTGTTTCCCCGCGTTGGTTTTACTCCGTTTCTCGGTGTTCAGACGGTCGGGTCGGGGCTCCGCCGGCCCCGTCCTGCTGCCCGGTCGCTAACGAACCTGCTCGTGTCCCGCGTGGCCGGTCCCAGGCCAGGCCGTGCGGGATCCCCGCGCCGTCGGGACGCGCTCACACGGGTCTGCTCCTCTGTCTTAGCAAGTCTGTTTAATTGCTTCCTGCCATGAACCTTAAATGTTATGTCAGGTTCGGACAATGTTTTGTTGTTTGTAGCTCTCCGTAATTAGCCGGACGTGTTCCTTCTGCCAGTGCTCCTTTCTGAGGCTGTAAATACAGTAACTCATGTAATGAGATGGAAATGCAGGCATTAGTTTGTTGCCTTTGTTTCCTCTCGTTTTCTATATTAGAAGAATTTTTAAATAAAGTTTAATTTTTCTTCTAGCAGTTTGCAGAATACCAGTTCCTCCCGTGGATCTGCAGGTAACGCCGCCTCCTTTCGGGTCTGGTTTATGTGGCAAGAGGCGCTCGCCCCGCTGCCCAGCCCTGTGCCGGGAGCTCCGGCAGCATTCCCGGCATTGGGAATGGCCGGAAGCCGCGTGCAGGTCGGTGCACGAGGAGCCTCCCGAGGGGGACGGGCGCCGCGGCCCAGGGACTCCCGCTCCGCAGAACCAGAAATTCCTGATGGAAACGTCCACCCGCTTCCTCGCGCTGTGTCCGCTCTGCAGGGCTTTGTGGCAGGACACGACAAACTTTTTTCCAGTTTTCCAACTTCCAGTTTATCAGTGAAGTGTTTTTGACACGTTCAACCCCTTAGCAGGCTTCTGAATCAAAACAGACAACAGATCTTCCAACGTTTGCTAGAACCACCGGAACTGCTGCCTCTTCTGCTGCCACTTGAGTAAAACTCTGATAAACCGGGACAAGGAAATAAAATCTTCACAGAGATCTGCAGATTTTCCTAAGTGCTAGGTAATGAAATGCAGCTTGTGCTGAGCCTGCTTTGAAGCTCTTCTGACAACACCGTGAGTGAAGTCAGTTGGAACCCAAAATGCCCCCATTTGTGTGTGCACTGTGTAATTAAAGCATCACTTCAGAAGGATCTCTCATCCTTAGTAGTTAACCATAAAGTTTTGAATGGCCTGAGGTGAAGCTGGTGGCTTTTTGTGCTCAGCGCATTAACCAGAATAACAACTAGTTAGGAATGAATTACACTATTAACCCTTAATCAGCCGTACCTAAAATGGGCTTGTACAAAGGGCGAAGGAAGGTACTTTAAAACTATATTGTGGGGAGGAAAAAAAAAAAAAGTGTGTTTCATCTTCAATCGAGGGTGGAAAACACCGGGAAACCGTTGGGAGCCTCGAACTTTTCCTGAGCGTAGGCACTGTCCTGTCCCGGAGCGTGGGCCGCAATGAGCCCGGATCCCGGTTCTGGTTCTGCTGCCCGCCCGGGAAGGCCTTCCCGGTGCCTC